GAAAGTTGCCGAGAAGAAATTATAGATATTTTTCTTTAAATGTAAGCACACTGATGTTTTTCTGCTAACGTACGACTGAATTTTAACAAGCTTCACACAAATTGTTTCACCACAAACATGATGAATTAAAAAAAGCTTTATCGATAGAAACATTGCAATTTATAAATTTACATTAAAAATAAATAACACAGGTGAAATATTTATTACCCCCCAAAATTGGCTACCAAAATTGTTATGCAAATTAAATGCTACTGATTATTTTGTAAATATAAAGCTTGTTAGTAATATCTATCTATCTCTCTCTCTCTCTCTCTCTCTCTCTCTATATATATATATATATATATATATATATATATATATATATAATAAATGCCAATGTCAGTGTGTCACTGTGTCACATTTCACATTTATTCAATTAAAGGGATACAACTCTCTGACTTTCAATAGCTCATGTTATAGAAATTTTGGAGTCCCTAGCTTTCATTACTGCGTTCGGCGAATTTTTTTACATGATGTTTTTCAACGATTTTTTTGTACGATGATAGTTTTTATAATTTGGAAATAAATTTGGGAATAATCAAAATTAATTGCAAAATCTAGCGAAAGTCACCCACGAAATAAAAATAATTGTTTGTACGGAAAGTATGGGCCTAGTCTCATCAAATTGTCTTTAAATTAAGTGGCGGCAGATGAATTATCGTTGAATTTTTAAAAGTTAAGCTTGAATATTTATGCAATACTTAAATGAAACGATCAATTTCGGAGTTTTCTGTAGTATATTGTTGCTTGGTAGCAGTATGCCTTGCAAAAAGAAATCTCCGCCAACAGAGGACCAGATTGCAATCAAAAGAACCAAGGCAGCAGCGAGGAAAAGAAAGTCCCAAGCAAATGAAAACCCAGATCAAACGGTAACCAGGAAAGCTTCCAATGCTGAGAATATGAAAAGACTTAGGGACTCTCAAACTAATGAAAAAGCTGAAGACCCAATCAAGAGCTCGCTTAAATGTCGCCATATCAGGCAATTTTTAAGCTTATACATATATATATATATATATATATATATATATATATATATATATATATAGTGTGACTATAAAGTTCATGTGCACTTTAAAAAAATGTATAACTTTATTTGTATTTGCGATAGAAATAATTTCTAAAAAGGATTAGAAAGAAGTAAATGAATATTTTTTAATGATCTATTGAAATTTTATTTAAGTTTCCACATGTCCTCCATCATTAGCAATACAAAGGGTAATACGATTTTGCAGTTCACGGAAAACATTTGCCAACTGATTTAGAGTAATGCCTGAAATCACATTAGTTATTTTAGCTATACGTAAAACTAGGTACATTATGCTTTATAACATTTTTTACAGATTATTTCTATCGCAAATACAAATAAAGTTATATTTTTTAAAGTGCATATATATATATATATATATATATATATATATATATATATATATATATATATATATATATATATATATATATATATATATATATATATATATATATATATATATATATATATATATATATATATATAAATGCTGATAATAAATTGCATTTTAGCGATATGGGTTGTTTTATTCTACTGATTAGAAGTTAATATTTACTTTACTCTTATTTTTAGAATAACATATGAACTATAGGCAAGTTTGGATTTCTAGGTAGCGAATCGGAATGAGAAATGAACGAGCCGAGTTCGAATTGTGGCAGAGTTGGTTACGTTCACCTTCACCCAAATACGTTTTGTAAAGGCATGAATCCATCTCTTCTACTCCCTATAAATGATTGCTTAAATAGCAAGAATTTCTTGTCTTGAGTTGGCAACCAACTTAGAAGAAGAATAACTCTGGATTCAAAACGAGCCTGAAAATGTATGAGTTCCATCAAGTTATCTTGCTTGGTACATACCACTGCTGCAGTACATGTGATTCCCCTACAACCCTGGGAGGCGATGGGATGCTGCGTGAAGTAAGGTAAGATTAATAAATTATCCTAATATAATGGAAAAAGTGCGTCTTTGATGCTTGTGAATTTGGCGGCATTCAAAACAATAAATTAACGGATAACGGAGTTAGATTCACTAGACACATGGCTTTGTGTAAAATATACAATAAACATGCCTTCTCATAGAAATAGCACTGTAATCAGATAGGAATATATCTGTCAAGGAAAATGATAAATAAGTAAATATATGATCTTGGAGTTGAAAATAGACTTCTGTTATACCTGGAAGGCACGGTGGAGTAATGGATAGTGGCTAGGATTGAAGAATCGGAGAGCTGAGTTCGAATTTCAGTCGAATCCATTACATTCACTTACGTGCTAATACGTCCTGGGAAAGATATGAATCCTTTCTTCTTCCCTAGCTATGGGTAAATAGCAGGACGGACAGGGTTCTATAGCATTGGATGGCAACCGGGTTCTATAGCCTTGGATGGCAACTGGCAGAAAGAAATGGCAACCTACTGCGGGAAAAGATACTTGATCGTCTAAGCGATGGCATATAACTGACTGAATTGGGACCCTGGGTATGATCAAAACGCTAATGGCAAGAGCATTAACACGATCCCTGGTAGACAAGAGATGAAAAAATGACACCGTGTGGAACAGTTCTTCTACTAAGGTGAGTATTATCAATATAATAATAATAATAATATATATATATATATATATATATATCGTACATCAAAATCAGAATTTGGGCAAGGAGAATGTGTGTATTTACTATCTTTATAATTTGTATTTAAAAATGAAAATGCTAAATTTAAAGAAAAAGAAAGTTTTTCTCAAGCTATATCCTCCTGACGTCAGTATAAACTGACGCCATTATTTTCCTATATATAGTAGCCATTTTCGTTAAAGTTTGTATTTTCTTGATCTTATCTGAAAATTTGGAAAATTTCCAACGTATTTCAGTGAAATTTACACTTTACAAAATTATACTTTAGATATATGGATAAAAAAATATTTAAACTGATGTCTACTGATGTCTACTTTGTTTCCATATATTGTGACAATTTTGCTTAAAGTTCGCATTGTTTTATTTCATTGGAAAACTGAAAATTTTCAACATGTTTTAGTGACATTTTAACTTTCCCACATTATACTTTGTTTAATTATAGTTTAAAGATATGGAAAAAAAGAAGGCCTCAAAAAAAAAAAAAAAAAAAAACTGACACCAGCGGGGATATGGATTAAAATTTTATACTTCAACAACAATCATTTTGAACTTGCCCGATCAGATTAACACATTTTATGTGTTAATGGATGAATAATGGATAATTTTTTTTTAAATAATGGATAATTTTATGTACGATGAATAAATTGTCGTCTAAATGATGCAAAAATGAAAATAAAACTGATATCTCATTTTAACAGATATATTTAAATTATCTTCAAACACTAAAGAGTGAATTTATTTAATAAAATCGCCATTGGCTTTAAGCATAGCCTCCAGTCAACTTCAGAATCTCCTGCAACTATTCTGGACGGTCTTCTTGTTTAAGTTAGTGAATGCTGCCATAAACCTTGCTTTTAGTTCATATTTGGTGTTACAGGGAGTTTTGTTAGTCTCTCGGTCAACTGCACTCAACGCTAATAATAATCATGGGGGCTGCAATCTAGGGAGTTAGGTAACCAGATGTAAAGGGTGATGTGCTCGCGGAAATTGTCTGACAGACATGACTGGGTCCTCCTTCTTGTGCGGCATAGTGCAGAATCCTGTTGCCAGGCATAGGGTCTTCCAGCAGCCACCCTCTTAACCCAGGGTAGCACTACCTCAAGGTAATTGATGTAGGCCCCCGTGTTGAGTCTTCGGCTCTCATCAACAAATTCGGGAGTTCTTATCAGAACGGTCAGAGTTTTCCGTGCTGGCGGACCTTCGTAATAACAATTAGACTCATCCAATTCTTTCCGAATCCTCGGCACTTTGCTCAGATTGACACCCAAACACTCTGAAATGTTCGTATTGGTGCTTCTGGTGCGAATGTCAAGCAGTACAGCATGCCGCTTCCGAATTTATGGTGGAGTGATGCTTTTTTTCTTATCGACGCCGTCCAACTGACCCTATGTAGTCGACAAATTAAAACACAAAAATCGCTGATGCGCGAAATTAAAAATATAAAATGGCGACAATTTACTCATCGCACTCCGTATATCTTTCATGAGTTTGAATTTTTATACAAGAAAATATGGTAAAATTCCTATCGAAATACACAATACAATAAATCATAACAATGTTTTCGATTATATTTAACTCAGAGATCTGAATAAGATCGAAAAAAAATCATACGAATAAATCGTGAAAAATAATTTAAGGAAAATATTAGACAAAGTTTGACCCCCAAGGGGTTAATAACAAGACCAGAGTGTTGTTAAATATAAATATTTTACCACTAATTTTAATTTGGGCGAAAATAATTTGTAAATAAATAATCTTTTGTAGCCGATTAAATTGCCTGGTTTTTGCAGATTTTAATATTTTCATTAATTTTGACTGGTTTATGATGTTTTAATTCAAAATAATAAGGATTTTGCCAACGAATGAATGAATACGTAAGGATTTGATAGAGCAAGTTATTTTTTTTTTTTATCGAAACGGAACAAATATGGTGAAACTGCCAAGTTGACACTATTTACATTATTCGGACTATTGTCCTCCTCTTTGTCGCCATATTTATTATTACAACGTTTCGGCCTTCTTCAGGTGGTTGGAATGTCGAACTTAACCCTTTATTTCGCTCACTGGGGTAGACTGTTCTAGTTCCGCGTGCCATGTTTAACGGATGTTAGTTATCAGTTATCTCCTGTTAATTATCCTCTCCAAGTTCTCCACTGCCTTAACTGCGTTAGTTAAATCCAGTGACAGGACCCAAAGAGTGTGAGTTCAATACCCGGTTAAGGCAGTTGAGAACTTGGAGAGGGAAATTAACATTCATATCTAAACTATGTATTTGCTTCATTTATTTCAATATTTTATCTGGTTTACAGCCACATCATGTTGAAACACTGGTTTCCACACAATCACTGAAGTTAAGCAATCTTGAGCCTGGTCAGTACCTAGATGGGTGATCACTTACAAATACCAGGTACTGTAAGCTTGGATGCACAGGTGGTGTCATGGATAATGGCTCAGAATTGTTAATTGGAGGACACAGTTCAAATTCCAGTTGGGCTTGTTATATTCCCTTATGAAAAAATACCCATGAGGAAAAGTATGAATCCATCTGTTCTCTCCCCAGTTATGGGTTAATTAGTAAGATTTGTTTCACTAAAGCATTATTTCAAACAAATTTAAAAAGATAACTGATAACTGACATCCGTTTAACATTGTTCGTGGAACTAGAACAGTCTACCCTAGTGAGCAAAATAAAGGGTTCAGTTCGACATTCCAACCACCTGAAGAAGGCCGGAGCGTACAACGGCCGAAACGTTGTAATAATAAACATGGCGACAAAGATGAGGACAATAGTCCGAATAATGTAAATAGTGTACATTATATCTCATCTCAGAAATATAGACAGATACTGCCAAGTTGAGTTGATATGAATGCATGTGGTGTTTTAACAAACTGCAATAATTTACGATTTCATTACAATCATTACATATGGTCAAAATTTAAAAAAAAAGTATGCATTTCATTTCATAATGAAAATATTTTAATTATTGATTCTGATATTCTATTAGTTGACTAAACGATAAGAAGAATATTGCTATGTAAGAAACAGAATGTAAAATTTAACGTTTTTGACTACTGGAAAGAGCAAGTTAAAGAAAGACAGAATATCTATCTATCTATCTATCTATCTATCTATCTCGGTCTTTTTTTCTATCTATCTATCTATCTATCTATCTATCTATCTATCTATCTATCTATGTCGGATTTTTAATTTTTTTCATTTTTATCTATCTCGGTCTTTTTATCTATCTCGGTCTTTTTATCTATCTATCTATCTATCTATCTATCTATCTATCTATGTTCATTATCTATCTATCTATCTATCTATCTATCTATCTATCTATCTCGGTCTTTTTATCTATCTATCTATCTATCTATCTATCTATCTATCTATCTATCTATCTATCTACGTTCATTATCTATCTATCTATCTATGATCATCTATCTATCTATCTCGGTCTTTTTATCTATCTCGGTCTTTTTATCTATCTATCTATCTATCTATCTATCTATCTATCTATCTATCTATCTACGCTTATTCATTATCTATTCATCTCTGACATTATGTCACACAAAAGCTAAGCCGTGGAAATACCCCAGTCGATATACCCGTTCCCTTTCACACTGGTACCAGTTGTAATTAAATAATTTTTTTTTATTTCAACGCAGGTAGAAAAATCATCTTCCCAGACGATGTGGGCGGGGCCAGCAAAGTCGAAGGCACAGGGCTGTTCTATTCAGGCCCAAGAAAAAAAAATAGAATTCTCAACAATCGACACAAGCCCAAAAGGAACATCAAAGCAACGGGCAACGCCCCAACAAACGAAGGCGGAAAATAACGATCTAAAATAGCAGTTAGCAGCCGGAAATAGGGACTTGCCGCTAGGAATTCTTTTTTTTTTTTTTTGCCTATTCTTCATTTCAATTAAGGGAATTTCAAGATCTCTTTCTGGAGTAGATTTCTTGAGATGTGGTCAGGCTTTTTCTTTGCGTGTTTGCAACTGTTTTAATCGTAATTCACTTAAGGAAGAATGATTTCCCTGGGGGAAGAAATGCTGTCGACTTTAGATTGTCCGAGTTAACTGAAAGGAGACGTTAATATTTTCTTTAACCGAAAATTGATTTAATTTCTAAGACATATTAGAATAGCAAAAAAAAATGCCTTCCAAAACTTAAAAAAGTATTAGGTAACAGGAAAATTTCGCAAGAAACAAAGAAAAAGTCCTGAACTGCTATGTAATATCTATCCTACGAGATGGCAGTCAATGCTTCACAGTTTCCTCACAGATGAAGAGGAAAATCAAGACAATAGATACATGATTCTACAGAAGGATGCTGAGAATGACATATATGGATCATGTGAGCAGCGAGAAACTTTAACCCTAGAACACTAACCATCAGTTAAAGTTACACCACTACTAACCGTGGGTATATCATACCCGATTTTGAAAAATAAAAAAAAAAATATTAAATATAAATCTTTATTCGAAATATTTTACATGCAGATACTTCAAACGTTGTACTTTGAGTTAACATTAATAGGAAATGAAAAACATTATTTAGGTAAGAAAATCAGGTACTGAAAATTGTAATTAAAAATAGGAAAATTTGCGCTGGGTACTATATACCCATGGTTAGTGTTCTAGGGTTAAAGAAAAATGGCGATAACAATGCGATTTGTATTGAGAATCAGAAAGAAATATTTGGAATTTCTAATATATATAATGAGGAAAGTGGGTTTGGGGAATTTGATACTCACAAAACATCGCAATAGGGACAGATGGAATCATCGAGTAACATAGCCAACGAACTTAATAGCAGTACAGGAATTGGGAAGGATAGTAAGGAAACAAACATTACTTAGAGCCACAAAAGAAAGGAAATTGTGGAGAGCCATGACCTACTCTATACTAGTTTAAATAATGTTTGTTTATGTTGAATAGGGATTACGTAATTAAATTTTGAAATTGGAAGTAATTTAGTTTCTACTTGCTAAAAACTTTTTTAGGTCACTGTATATTTAAAAACTAAAATAAACTCTTAAACAAGAAAACTGAAATAATTAAAAAATGTAGGCATATAAATGAATACTTACTTTGCTATCTAAGCACTAATTAAAAATAAACACATAAATGTTCCAAAGGTTCATTACAAGTATTAATTGAATTAATCTACTAGATACCGAATAAAGGATCAAAGAAATATTTTAAAGCCATTTTTTCGTAAAAAATGAAATGATTTTATATATTTTTTAAGCGTTTCACCCCAAGCAAGGCGGGGAGCCACTAACACGCAAGGGGTTACAGAGAGTTGGAGCGAGACCAAAGAGGAGTGATAGAGGAAAGGATGAGGAGAAGGATAGGAGATAGATCAAGGCATCTGGAGACGTCGATTGACATTACATTTGAATAGTTGGAGATTATAGCTATCAAGGAAACAGGAAGAGGGAAGGAGTTCCACAGGCGAGAGATGCGAGACATGAAGCTATTGGAGTAAAAGAGACGGCTACATTTAACAGTTTCGACAGTGAAAGGGTGTGAGCGAGATGCCAGCCTAGTAGAACGCTTAAATTCATGAAGTCTGGGAACCAGCGAAAGCAGCTCATTGGAGCAGTTACCGTGAAAGTATTTGTAAAAAAAATAGAGGGAGGCGACGGCACGTCTGTGAGAGAGCGACTGCAGACGAGATGCCAGATCAGGGCCAATTACGTTGCATATCCGCCTCTGGATCTTATCAAGAACCTTGAGACAAACATAAGGAGCACCAGACCATATGTGTCCTCAGATACGATATTCTAAGAGAAAATATATTTTCATCCATAAAAAAGGCCTTCATCCTGACTTCATACGCAAGCAAACATTGGTAAATTGACAAAGAAATCAAGACAATGGCCAACGAAAAGGGTCGATGCTAATTATTACGCGCTGTATTGCTTTTTTCTCCTTCTTTTCTTTTTATGTGCCATGTCCTTTCAGGGTATAGGCGATGACGGCTCTCCACCTCCCTGTATCCCTTGCAGCTCTCAACAAGTTCCTTCCCTCTGCCACCTCCCTCAGACCACGTTCTGTCATCCACCTGTTCAAGCCCGCTAGGTATGTCATGCATTGTTTTCCCTTGTTTCTCTTTCCCTCTATTTGACCTGTGAGTATCAGATTCTCCAGGCCCTCCTTTCTCATTCCACTATCAATCACAAGACAAATCCTTCTCGGCGCTGTTATTATAAAGAGGGCTTTTTAGTATTCTTGCATCCCCACCGGAAGCTTTAGGCAACTTGACAAGACGCCATTTTTACAAATAACCTTTTCCTTGTCTATTTTTACACATTTACCGTTTAACACCCTTTTTTCTTTTGTTTTCAACGTGAGACTAGATTTTCCGTCGGTTTTTGTCGAAAAATGACTAGTGATATGATATCGTACAGCATTAATTCTATAAATGGAGTAGACAGATTCCCCTATCACCCGGTTTACACTCCTCCTACATATTTTGAACAGGAGTAGAGGTTTATCCTTTGTTCCCTGTTTAGGACCGGTTTTTCGGTTTCTTCGAAAATCTTTTAATACTTTTTCGCTCCCAGTAGTCCCTTGCGTTTCAGTGGCATTGTCGCCTAATGTGGGGAAAATTGATTAAAAGATAAACGTAAAAAAGTTGGTCTAATCCTAACTGAATGCTCCCATTCTTGTTACCTTGTACCTGACTAAAATAAACTTACTAAATACAAAGAGTATTCATAAAGTTCGGGAAACAATGAAATTAAAAAGAATTTTTTTTTAAACATAAGCTTTATTTCGCATATCAGCTTCATGAACAAGACACTTCAGTAAGTGATAATACCAATTATTTATACATTCCCGGCCGCATAGCCGAGTGGTTAAAACGATTTCGTGGTTGATTTGTCAGGGAGCTGACTTTTGGATGTTATCGGCTTTGAGAGGAGGCGATGCCACCTTTGGTAAGTGCCTGAAGGCCATATCACGGGATGCTCCAAGCCTTGTGTTTGGAATTGGGTATCGAGGGCTGTACTAGCACAAAGTCGAAAGTAATCATGACCGAGAATTTGAGCGTATTGGCCGTGTTCAGACTGTTGATCACGCCAGATAACTCGTTCTCTCCCAGAAACTGTGACTAAGGTTCGCTCAGTATAGATGCAGTAAAAAACCACAGGTGGGTTCTGCAGGTGTTGAACAAATGTACTTCAGCTTTTGTATGTAACAGGGATTGTTTAGCTGTCTTTGTAGACAGGCATACTCAGATACAGGTAACAGGTCAGAGTGTCAATGAACAAAATGACGAATGGACAAAATGACGAATGGACAAAATATCAAATAAACAAAGTACCGAACGGAGAAAGAGTCAAATTGATGAGATGACGAATGGACAAAAAAAGACAAACTTTCAAAAGGTCAAAATGAAAAAAAAA